TATATTGTCTTGTTCCATTTGCAAAGTGTCTCACCTGCTCAATTCAAGAACAATTCACTTATTTTAAGAAAAAAAAAAAGTTATTTAGAGTTTTTTTTTTTTTAGTGAACCAGTCTTTCAAAATAAATATTTCACAACATACATTTAAAGGCCGGACAAAATCTACTTTCCATCCCAGTTCGTCTCACATTCCATTTAGTTTTTTTTTTTTTTCTTAGACTGACATCATTGAAATAAACAAAAACATTCATCATCTTTTAGTCCATGTTTTCCCACTTTGCTTCAGGTTAAGTTTGTTGATTCCTGCAAACGGAAACCAAGGAAAAAGTTCTGGAGGTCAACAGTCAGTCTCCAGTCCTCAGCACTGCTCCTCCCCCAGAGAGTCCGTGTTCTCCCCATGGTCTATGGAGGCTGACGTGCCCCTTATTTTACCATGCATCTGACCCGGACCCGGCCCAGGACCCGGCCCAGCTCTGGGGGCGCCGTGTCCAGGGTAGACCTCCACTGTGCTGGAGATGGACTGGAGGGAGCGGTCCCCGAAGTAGTGGAAGGCTTCCTGGTCCAGGTAGTTCTGCTCCTCACGCAGCCCCTGCTCAAACAGCTTGCGTTTGTGTCGAAACTCGATGACTGTCTTGGTGTAGGAGTTGAGGGTGGTGACGGAGGCGGCCATGCAGCAGGTGAAGGAACCCCACGCCATGCTGGTAAAAAAAAAGGACGGTAAAGGTGAGAGTCACACTGATACGGCACTGACCAAGAACATTCACACCTTCAGAGATTAAATCTTTTGTAAATTTACCTTACATGTTTCAAATTAAACTAAATTTAAAATCAGACAAAGACGGTCTGAGAAAAATTAAATGCGTTTTTGAAAAAGAAAATTCTTCTTTTACTGCTTTCTCCCCAAATACATTTTCTGTCTAAAAAGTGCCAAAGGCCTCGTCTTCTCGGACGCTTGTGTTCATTGAAGTGAGTCCCACATCTTGAGCAATTTTGAAGTGTGTGCAGATGCATCTGTATGGAGTAAATTTTATTTCATTATTGTATCAAACAAAAG